CAGTATTATTTCCAATAACAAAGATGCTAAATAAACTACATGTCCATTAACAGGGAACTTTTTACATTAACAAATAAACAATAGTATATCTACATAATGAAATACTATGTAATTGTGTCCCCTAAAAAGAAAAGATTGTATGTAAAGATATGGAAATATCACCAACATAACATATATCATTAAGTAGAAAAGGGAAGGTGCAGATTTTTTAAATCCATCATTTTAGAAGGGAGGGAAATAAGAATAACATTTGGATATGAACAAAGAAACACTGGAAGAATACACAAAGAACTAATAAGTGTGGTCATCTGTGGGGTAAAGAGAACAGGAAGCCTAGGAAGAATTGTTTTGTTTCTAAATATGTCGATTTATTAGTTTTTTTTAAAAAGTATATGACAAGTAAATGAAATTACACAGAACTATTTACTGTTGACTTACCATATCATGGTTATTAATATTAATGAAAGATTCCTTATACTCTGAAATAAACTCGGAATCTTTTGAAATGGATGTGAAAGAGGATAGTAACCATTCAGACGAATGAAATATCCAGGGATACAGAAAATGGTTCTCAAACACTGGATTCACTTTCTGTCTCAGCCTCATAATCTTACTAAGACCAAGAATGAAAGAACTGCTATTTAAACACAAGTTACATTCTCTTTCTAGCTTTGTAGACAGTGGCTTTGTAGCCAAATTCAATTTCCACCAGAATTCAAAGAAGCACCCTCATTCCGTATTTACTTTTATACAGAAATTTTAAAAGGTTTTGCCGACTCTATGTGGATCACAACCTCATTCATTTATAAATTTTAATTAAGGGTGAGGAAAAACTTTTAAATATTGCCAGTCCAGGCCTCTACAAAATCAAGTTCAGCAGAGATCATAACTTTTTATATGCTTGCTGAAAAGACAGCTCAAAAATTTTAATTTAATTTAAATAGCTGATTTGATAAAGGGTTATATCATCAAAATGTCATCCCACAAAAAATGGAATATCAAGTACTTTGACAGTTTAGTGAAAGAAAAAATAGCTCTGATATAACACAGGATTTCATTTAGCTATAAGTCAACAGAGACTTTTGCATTCATTATTGCTTTATTAACAATCAGTGACATTCTATATATCATTTCTGCCTTCAAATCACTTTATAAATATAACAGAGTAGAACTCTAGAAGTATAATTTTTTTCAAAAGCATTTGTACGTATTCAGTTTTACAGCTTTTATCAGCTTTATCAAGAGGTCTGTATCTAGCTTTGGGAGTGGGAAAGAAAAGTAGGTAGCTAAAACAGTTTTGCTATTAATCTACTTCCTTTAAGCAAAGTTTGGCTTGTGACAGAGGCAGAAAAGGTGAAGGGAGCTGAAAGGTCAAAGGAATATATTTTGAAGGAGTCAGGAACAACACCACTCAAAATCTGCAGTGTGATCCATTTCTAAAACACAACACTCAACTCTGCAGGAATCCAAATGCTTCTGCCAAGAAGTGAAGTCTTATGACCAGACATTTATAGGCCCCACGAATTAGGCATCATTCATTTTGTTACCCTGTTATTATTTTGTTAACAGATTATTACCCTGTTCTTCACTTAAAAAGATATTTGACCTTGTTAGTCCTCATTTATATTCTATGGCATTTCTTCAGAAATCACATAGAAAGCTTACTTTCCCAAGTATATCCTTTTTAAGAATTCGAATTCAACAATCAAGCACACAATGTGCCGCAAGAGAAAGAAATCACGGGAAATCAGTATACATGTAGGGCAAGTTTTCAAAATAGATATGCTGTAGCATACACGGAAATGTAAAGCCTCACCTGATATTTAATCCTGAATACAGCTTTATCCTAATTCCTCTACATCAATTAATCCATTTGAAAGCATAGAAGATTTCAAGGGTTAGTAACATGGAGACTTTCCCTGGATGTCCGGGGATAAACGAAAGTAATACCCAATTCATGATGATATTTGTGCATATATACAGATTAATCCTAGGTGCAAAGGCTAGGATCAAGCCCACTCCCAGGAAACAAATATCACAGGATGATAACGATTATATGTTACCTTTATAAAAGTTTACAGATGATTTAATATTTATTTTGCTTGTTTTTCTTTAAAGACTAGAACAATGATTAGCACCCAACAAAAAGTAAGCTAACTACTGCTAGAGGTAGAGTAAGAAAAACATCAGGTTTGCTATCAATAACTTTACTAATACGTCATCTTTCAGTCATTAAAGTGAATTAAATTTAGCTTATTAAAAACATGTTCAGTTTTAAGAGCTAGTTTTAAATGGAAGTGAAATAGATGGTCTGCAGGTAACTGACTGCAAACATCTACAAATAATGTTTCAAGGGAACTAGGACCTCCAATCTATTGTTTAGGTGACGGAAATGCCAATACACACTGGTGTTTTCGACAATGCTGTGCTATAAAATCATGGGAACTTACAGTTTAATAATATTAGTAGACTTAAAGTTTGAAATATTGGGCATTCTATTCCAAAAGTGATACGCAAGGTACTTTCCCTCCCAAGTACATGATAAAGAAAGGTAAACACATGCACGGTAACAGCACAAGAGTTATAAAGGAGCTGGTTGAACTTAAAGATTTTTTGCATTACCTGAAGAGGCACTGTTCAATAAAATTATCCAACTCAAAAAATATTGATTATGCCATCAGTTTCAAGGTGTTTGACTTGAAACTGATTGTTTGACTTGGTGTTTGACTTGTTACCTAATTTTGTATAACCTGACTCACAGGTTATACAAAATTAGGTAACAGAAACCTCAACTACCCTTTCCCAGTATTATGCTAAATGATCCAATCCTGCTGACTCCATTGAGTTACTATATTTAATGATAGTGATTATCAATCAAGTTTGAAATCATTTATTTTCCTAAAAGAATCGTCACTTTTTAGCTTTGAAAATTCTGAAGGAGAAAAGAGAGATGGTCCAGGCAGGGAAGCAGCTTACTATAATCCTACTTTTCCACAAACAAAACAGAATAAAACAAACTATTCTTATCATTATTCACAATTATATTAAGAGAAATAAAAAGTAGCCTCAAAAATGCCTGGTGATATTTAAGCAATCTACAAATACTAGGCTCTAAGCAACTCAGTAAAAAAAGATGCAGAAGAATACAGTGGTTAAGAGTATGGGCTGTAGAGTCACTGCTTTGGTTCAGACCCCACCTCCCCAACCTGCCATGTGGCTTTAACCATGTTACATGCACTCTGCATCTCAGTTCCTTATCTGCAAATAGAGGAGCAATCCTTAGCTCACTGGATTGTTGTCAGAATTTCACTACAACAGTGCCTGACATCATTTATTAAGACATTTTTTAAATTGGTTTCTACAGAAATCCTGTGAGTAGTTAAAAAATCAAGCCTTTAAGAATCAGGGAGGGGATAAAATCCACATTGGTATAACTACTGTTTAAGCATCTAAATAGGGATCACCTGACTTTCTGAGAGGTGTTTTAACCCAGATTTCCTACAACTTCTGAGCTTCAATTATACACCAGGCACTGTGCTAGCTGGGTCTGAGCAACTAGAAAGTGCTCTAACATTGGAAGAGTCAGGCCTCTAATTTGTGTTCTGCTACTGATTAGCTTATGAGCTTAAATAGGTCATAAAATGGTGGTATTCTATCAACGAAGAGGGGAAAGAAGAAGAGATATAGAAGAATTTGACTTCTAATTTTAGTTGTTAAAATCTTGTGAATCCTAAAATCTTGTGAATTTCAGATGATTCCCAAGATTATCTTCCTGTAAAAGAATGGGACAGAACAGATAGCAGTTAAAAGTCAGCTTGATAAGGTTAAATCATATTGGTGTTCCTTGTGACCTCCATGAAGTTAAAAATGACATTTTATTTATTTATGTAACCCAGTCCATTGGCACATAATACCTACTCAAAATGCTGCTCTGATAAACTATACATAGGCGTTTGAGGATTAACTGCATTTTTATTGGAGTTCTCCTTATAGAAAGAGAAGTTATTTCTGATATATTTCTTCCCCACCATTGTGCTATACACTTTATCTTGCTCACATTTAATTCTTTCACTAACTCAGTGAGGTAGGTACTATTATGATCCCGGTTTTATATATCAGGAAACTGAGGTCGGAAAGTTAAGGCAGTTAGCAGGAGACCAGGTTGCAAGGCTTGTAGCTGGAGCTCCGATTCTTACCGAGGTCTCTCTTGTTTGAAAAAAAAATCTGTGCTTTTAACCCACCCTGAATTTCACTTCCCATTAACAGCAGACAATGTAAGTGTTGAGAAGGAAAAAGATGAGACATAAAGACATATCAGCATTTAGCTCCATGTAGTGCTATTAAAATATTAGTTTGGGGGCATGCAGTCGGCCGAGAGGAGGGCGGGACCCTTTTTCCTCTTCCAGTAATGTAGCCTCTGGAGGGAAGAAATAAACCTCAGAAACAGGTCTGTGGGGCTGACTGCCTGGGGCAAAGGAGCGGGAAACAAGGAAGAACTGCAGAGACGGAGAGAGGAGGATAAGTGAAAACAGCCACCATCAAAAATATCAGTCTCGGACTAGTTATTCCGCAGTCTTCGCAATTTGCTGGGAACCAAAATGGTGCACCAGAGAGGTGTGGAGACCAAGTTGTCTTTCTCCAGCTGCAGTCTGTCACCCATGTGTCTGGGAACCTCGACCATTTACTGACCTAGACCTCACTCTCCTCATTTGTAACACAAGGCTGATGATATTAACACCTGCCTCCTTGGCTCGGGATGGCTGGGGATAGCTGGGGATGGCTGGGGATGGCTGGGAGGGGGCGGGGGTGGCTGGGGGGGGGGGGGGAGGTGTCGAAATGAAACAGCAAGTACGAAACCACCTAGAAAATCCCCGGTCCAAGCCAACTCTCCAAGGGGTGGGCAAGCAGGGAGAAGGGATGACAGACCAACGTCCCTTCACCCACAACAAAACTCACTCAGTGACGAGGACAGAAAGGCACACTGCGACAGCAATACTCACTGTCGGACAATCATCAGAGCGAAGCGTGTCATTGCTGCCATCCCCTCCACCGCGCTGCGCCGCTTCTCCGCACTGCGGGTTCACCTCGCCCACACCACTTCCGCCAAACCCTGCCGGCCCACCGGCTCTGGGGCTACCGGCTGAGGCGGCTCCTACGTCATCTCCGGAACGCCAATCAGGGTGATGGGAGGCCAGCAGGTCTGAGGAGACTGGTGGGAGCTGAGGCCCCGCCCAGGGCCTTTGCTTGGGCCCCGCGCGTGGGCTTGTGATTGGTACGCAGCAGGTGCTTGCGGGCCTGCCTTGCAGTCCGCATGGGAAACGATTCTTCCCGGAGCAAGCTGGTATCTTGGAGTTGCAGTGCAGATAAGGGAACCAACGCTCGGATTTGGGGTCAATCTGATTTGAGGCTGGAATGCAGCCAAGTAGTCTGACTTCGTGGGCGTGCAGCTGTAGAAAAATTGGGTGATATGAGGTTTAGCTGTCCAACCCGGACTCGAGAGTTGTAGGGTCAGCAAAATGTGTGGACATAGACCACCCAGTTTCAGCCCCTGACTCCGCCTTGACAGGCATGCTTCTGGAGCAAACTACAGTCGGGGTCTTTTGTGCTCTTTTCTAGGCTAGGCCTCATCCTTGGTCTGCTGAGTACAGTTTTCCCCAAAATTTTGTGAAGCCAGCTTATCAAAAATCCCCTTACCAAGGTCTTATCCTCTTGGTATGTGACCACTCCTTTTTCACCCTTAATTTCGAATCAAGCTCCTCTTCCACTGACCCTTTATATCTAACCAAGTTCCTCTTAGTAATTTTCTGTTCTGTCTCTTACCCTGGCCTCTGACAATAAATCTGCACTGGACCCGTTGTATAGGAGTTGAATACAAACCCTTTCCCCCATAGCAATAGTCTTGATCTCTGCTGCCATGGTCTTGGTTAGAGTCTTCCCCACTCCCCCTGGTTTTTTTTGTTGTTTGTTTATTTTGTTTTGCTTTTAAGGCATCTAGTAAATAAGTTCTCTCTAATAGTCTTCCAGGCCTTCTGAGAGTTCCATAACCTCTTGAGCCCTCAATTACATGATAGGTAAAATGGGATAACAGCAGCCGTGACACATTAAGCCTGACAGTGTTCGCTTTCCATTGGTAAAGCTTTACAGTGTGAACTTTACATTGTCTTTATGCACTATTTTACCTAAATTCTCATATTTAATAATGCATTTGGTTCGTTGAATCCTCAGTGAAATGCAATAGATGGATTTAAAGAACTTAAGTGAAGTAAGGCACACATATCAAAACAATTTTACATTTATAGTCCCATTTGGCCTTTTGAACAACTCTGAGGCAGACAGGATAGGCTATATTATCTCCACTTAAAAGATGAGAAATCTAGCAGAGAGAAATTAATCAACTTGTTTAAAGCTCACAGCTGGTCAGTGGCAACACAGGACTAATTCAGAGAGTATCAAACCTACCTGCCTGTTTGAACTGTCTTCCTTTTGAATTCCAGGCTACATCCTAGAAAAAATAAATAAATCTGAACCTCTGTGGGAGGCACCCAGGCATTAGCAAGTTTTTTCATTCTCAGCTGTTTCCAATGTGTGGCTAGTTTTAAGATCTAGAAGTGTAAAGCAATGATTTTCAAGCTTCACAAATCACCTGGGGATCTTGTTAAAAGGTTGATTCCAATTTAGTAGGTCTGGAATGGGGGCCAAATTGAGCATCTCTAATAAGCTTGCAGGGAAACAGGAGGCATTTTTAGGATGAGGGTGGAAGGATCATTCACAGAGCTCTAACACTGGGGTCCAGGTTACCATGAGGGTATGCTGCCTGTACATAGCACGTACTCCATACCTATGTCCTGAAGGACTAAATGAATAAACCAGTCCAATAGGATTTCCTGGAAGTTTGACCTATAAAAATGAAATTAATTAGGGAGTTACTTGTGAGAACTAAAGCAGAAAGAAAGCATAGAGAGAAACTATGAGACAGAGTTAGAGGTATGAGGAGCATGTAGACTGAAGCAATGAAGAAAGAGAAATCACAAATAGTACAACCTCAACAACAGATTCATAGAGAGTAACGACCAGCGAAGATAATGGAGGAACCAGGTAGACACACAGACAGAAGCATATACAGTAAGTAATGCAGAGATCTCCTGTCCCTGGCTCCTCAAGATGTCACAGTACTAGATAGCTTGTAGGTTCTAGTTTTTACAATAAATCCTCTTTCTATTTAAGGCAGCCTGAGTGCATCTTTAAAGCCTAAGTAAAAAACAGCCTTTCACTTTGTCTTACTTAATACAATAACTCTGCAAACTCTCAATTATTTCAGTTTTACAAATGCAGAAATTCAGCTCTCAAGATCTGAGTTTGACCCCAGATAAGTATCCAAACTGTAGCTGTAAGAGTAAGTGCTGACTCTGTTTCATTATTTCCCTGGCTTCTATCATAATGTTTGAAACACAGTAAGGACCCAGTTAAAATTTGTTAAATGAATGAATAAAGTATATCTGTTGTGATCAATTTGTCAAATGAATCATACATCTAAAAAGTAGCAGATAAAATGGGAGAGGATTGCTTTAGGAGAAATTTAGGAAATTATAAAGCACCAATATTAATTTTTAAAAATTATCCAAGAAATGTCTTCATAAACTTAAAAAAGTCAGTGGTGGTGCGGTGAGAAATGCAGATCTTTGAAAGAATTAATATTATCCTGCATTATTTACAATGGTTTAGGGAGTGTTTTTTAGCTTATGAAATAAACAGGGAGTTCATTTCAACTTACTTTATTTTATTTTTTTAAAGATTTTATTTATTTATCTTTAGAGGGGAAGGGAAGGAGAGAGGGAGAGAAATATCAATGTATGGTTGCCTCTCGTAAGTCCCCTGCTGGGAACTGGCCTGCAACCCAGGCATGTGCCCTGATTGGGAATCGAACAGCAGTCCCTTAGTTCATAGACCCTCGCTCAATCCTCTGAGCTGCACCAGCCAGGGCTTAAACTTACTTTAGATAGAAGCTAGAAATAACAACTGATATACTTTTGTTGAAAAGATATCAAATTACATATGCCCTTTTTAAAAAAATGAAAAATGTGCTTCGTTGTAGTACTTCATATGGTAGAATTCTGAATTAGTCAGGCTAGGCCCAGCTATGCTGAAGTAACAAATTAACCCTAAAATGTTTGTGGTTTGACATATAAAATTTTATTCTTCTTTCATGCTATGAGTATGACATATATAAAAAAGGGGCTGTTCTCCATGATACAGTCACCCAGGGGCTTGGGTTGACAGACACGTTGATGTCAACACGAGGATTCATAATTACTGGGACAAGAGATAAGAATGGGTATCTTGAAGCAGTTCTTAGATACTTCCTCTATTCATTGTCCCCAGTATTCACATGGCTCTTTCTAACTGCAAAGGTGATGGACAGTGTGGGGGAACAGACAACACTGCACATGCTGAAATACCCCAGGATTTTGCCCTTAGTCCTCTTCTCTCCTCAGTTGCTCAGTCTCCTAAGTAATCTTATCCAACATATAGATCTTATTTATATCTCCAGCCTGCAAATTTTCCCCAATCTCCTCATTTATTTATTAAGTTACCTATTCAGTATCCTCACTTGACTCTCTAATAGGCATTTCAAGCTAACTTTGTCCACACGGAACTTTGATTTTTACCTCCAAAGACTGCTTACTCCTTTTCAAGTCCTTCTCATTTCAGTACATGGCAAAAAAAAAAAATCTATTTGCTTGTGTAATCCTTGGTTCTTCACCTTAATCTAATGTTAACTGGATTTCCAGCCAAGATGGAAGCATAGGTAGATACACTGTACATTCTTGCACAACCAAAAGAAGGACAATAATTTAAAAACAAAAAACAACCTGAGCTCCCAGAAAATTGAATTGTATGGAATTCTGACAACCAAGGAGTTAAAGAAGAAACATCCAAACCAGTAGGAGGGGCTAAGACAGGCAGCTGGGCAGAGAGGACTTGCAGCAAGGTGGCAGGTAATGGACTGGGTGAGGCTGTGGCTGGTGGACCTGGAGAGGTGGCAGATCGAGGAACGGGCAGTCCCACATTCGAGTGCAGATAAACTAGGAGGAACAACTGGGAAGCAAGACAGACCACACAATCCAGGGTTCCAGCGCTGGAAAATAAAGCCTCAAGCCTCTGATTGAAAACACCTGTGGGGGTTGAGGCAGTGGCCTGAGAAACTCCCAGCCTCACGGGAGAATTCACTGAGAGACTCACAGGGTCCTAGAATATACACAAGCCCACCCACCTGGAAATCAGCACCAGAAAGGCCCAGTTTGATTGTAGATAGTGGGGCAAGTGACTGAAAACCGGAGAGTGGAGCAAGCAACATTGTTCACTCTCAGACCCTTCCCTCACATACAGCCCTGGTGAATACCTAAGGCTCTGCTCCTTACTATGTAACAGGTGTGCCCAGACCAAAAAAAAAAAAGATCAAAGCTCCAGAAAAAAAAATACAACTAAGTGAAGAAGAGCTAGCCAACCTATCAGATGCACAGTTCAAAACACTGGTAATCAGGAATGCTCACAGAATGGTTGAATATGGTCAGATGAGCAAATGAACAAATGAGATGAAAAAATGAAGGCTATGCTAAGTGAAATAAAGGAAAATGCACAGGGAACCAACAGTGATGGGAAGGAAACAGGTCTCAAATCAATGGTGTGGACCAGAAGGAAGAAAGAAACATTCAACCAGAACACAATGAAGAAATAAGAATTCAGTAAAATGAGGAGAGGCTTAGGAACCTCCAGGACATCTTTAAACATTCCAATATCTAAAACATAGGGTGCCAGAAGGAGAAGAGGAAGAGCAAGAAATTGAAAACTTACTTGAACCAATAATGGAGAACTTCCCCAATCTGGCAAAAGAAATAGACTTCCAGGAAGTCTAGGAAGCTCAAAGAGAGTCCCAAAGAAGTTGAACCAAAGGAGGAACACACCAACACACGTCATAATTACATTACCCAAGATTAAAGATAAGGAGAGCATTTATCTTAAAAGCAGCAAGAGAAAAAGAGACAGTTACCTACAAGGACTTCCCATCAGACTGTCAGCTGATTTCTCAAAAGAGACCTTGCAGGCAAGAAGGGG